CGATGGCTGCTCCCAGAAGGTCGGCCACCAGGAACACATACAGCACGCTGAATCCCTGCGAGGCGACAATGATCGCTGGAACCGCAACGAGTGCGGTTACGGCCCGGGCCTGCAGCATGAGGGTGTTACGGGAAACGCCTATACCTGCGAGGTCGGTGGCAAGGCTGCTGGCCAGTCCATTCATCAGGGTGTCGAGAGTGCTCATGGCCAGCATCAGCGCGCACACCAGCATCAGGAAGTGCATCCACAGGGGAAACACGTCCGTCGCCAAGGCAAAGAGCGCTGCGGAAACCTCAGGATACTGGAACGGCTCCACAGATCCATGCCCCACCGCGGCGATTCCAGCCATTCCCAGCAGGAAGGTTATCGGGATGGCCAGTGCGGTCGCGCCCCACAGGCTGCGGTTGAGCGCCCGCTGGCTCTCCACCGTGTAGACCCGCTGCCACATCCCAGGATGAAAGGCGTTGGAGGCGATTATCCCTATGATCAGCACGATGCCAAAGAAGTAGCTGCCCTGAGACTTGACCGAGAGCAGGCCCGCCTCCCTGGCTGCATCCCAGGTCCCGGTACCGCCCACCAGTGCCGCCGCCACGATGACCAGCAGCAGTATCACCGGCATCAGCACCCAGAACTGGAGACGGTCGGTATAGATGGATGCCCTCAGGCCCCCGTAAGCCGTGTAGACCACCACCACGACGCCGACGGCTATGGCCGTGGCCCAGGCCGGGGACCCGGTCAGAATATGGACCGCGGTGGTTATGGCGGTCATCTCGGCGGTGATGAAAATGCCCATGATGAAGACGATCACCACCGCTACAGACACGAAGGGAGCAGTGCCAAACCGGTGTTTGACGTATTCAGTTACAGAATGCCCGTTGGGCATCAACTCGCGGAGTCGCGGGCCGAAGACCATGTACATCACCGCGATTCCCGCCATTCCAATGGCGTATCCTGCCAGCGAGATGATGCCGAAGTTGGCGCCCCGTCTCGCCGGGGCTGAGCAGCACCCAGGTGCCAAACATCGAGGCAACGAGCGTCGCTATGCCCACGTTGACCGGCGCGTGATTCCGCGACACCGTGTAGTCCTCGACGCTCTGCCGCCTCCGCCCCACGTGTGTGATCCCCATATAGAGGAATGCGGCGCAAACAAGCACCATTGCAGCTATGCCGACACCGGTATCAAGCATCTGGTTCCCCAATACCCTGGAATGTGCGGTTAACGTTTTCCGAAATTCATTCTACTAAAGTAGTGGTATGATTTCGCATATTTCCCGGCACCAAAGGCTGATGTTTGCGGAGGCCTGTTATGACTACCTACACCGGTCAGTCCATCAAGCGCTTTGAGGACCACCGCCTGCTCACCGGCCAGTCCTCCTTCGTCGACGACATGACCCGGCCCGGCCTGCTGCACGCGCTTATGATACGCAGTCCTCACGGCCATGCCCGCATCCGCGGCGTCGATGCCTCGGCGGCCCTCGCCCTCCCCGGCGTCGTCGCCGTCATTACCGCCCAAGACATTGCCGATGTGGCCCAGTTGCCCACACGCGAGTCATCCGACGCCGACGAGATGCACCCGCCCCGGCACCCGGCGCTGGCCATCGACAAGGCCTGCTACGCGGGCCAGCCGGTGGCAATCGTGCTTGCCGACAACATCTATACAGCCCAGGACGCTGTGGATCTGGTCGAAATAGATTACGAAGTCCTGCCTGCCGTCATCGATCCATTAACTGCGGCCGATGCCGGCACACCAGTCATCCATGAGCACCTCGGGACCAACCAGGTCCTGCGCACGGTGAACGCCGGTGGCGACCTCGACGGGGCATTCGCCTCCGCCGATTGCGTCATCCAGCAGCGATTCGATGTGCAGCGCCTGGCGCCGGCCCCCATGGAGCCACGGGGCCTGCTTGCAGAGTATGACGCCGAGGCCGACCTGCTGACGGTGTGGGACTCGACGCAGCACCCCCACGAAATCCGCGAGCACCTGTCGCGCCTGATGGATCGACCGCTCGATTCGATCCGCGTCGTCTGTCCCGACGTCGGCGGTGGATACGGCGAGAAGGGTTGCTTCTTTCCCGAGGAGCTGTCCATCCCTCACCTGGCCATGAAGCTGGGCCGCCCCATCAAGTGGGTCGAAAGTCGCCAGGAAAACATGCTCTGCTTCCACGGCCGAGGCCACAGCATTGATCTAGAGGCCGCCGTCACCAGCGACGGCACGCTCCTTGGCATACGAGTCCGCGTTGTTGCTGACCTGGGCGCGTACTTCTTTATGTCGACGCCCACCGTCCCCATTCTGACCAGCCACCGCCTGACCGGCCCCTACCGCACCCCGGCCATGTCGGTAGAGGTCATCGGCGTTGCCACCAATAAGCCCGTCACCGGCGCCTACCGGGGTGCGGGTGGTCCCGAGGCTGCCTTCTGCATGGAACGCGCCGTCGACCTCGTCGCCCAGGAACTCGGCCTCGACCCCGCCGACGTCCGTCGCCGCAACTTTATACCGCCCGACGCCTTTCCCTTACGACACGCCCACCGGCATCACCTACGATTCAGGAGAGTACGAGGTCGCCTTCGATCGCTCCCTCGAAATGTCCAACTACCACCAGTGGCGGGAGCGCGCCCGTCAGCAGGCCCAGGAGGGCGGCTCGCTCATCGGCGTCGGTATCGCGGCGGTGGTCAAGGGTTCCGGAGCCAAGGTGACCATGCTGGAAGAACACTCGCGCGTGGTCATTGGTCCTGACGGCGACGTGGAGGCCCACACCGGAATTTCGCCCCACGGCCAAGGCACCGAGACCACCTTCGCCCAGATGGCCGCTGACGAGTTGGGCATCGCCCCGGGCGACATTCGCGTTCGCCACAGTGATTCGGCGGTGTTCCCCCACGGGGGTGGCACGTCGGCCAGCCGCGGGATGATCGCCGGCGGCACCGTGCTGCACATGGCCCTGCAGGACGCCAGGGAAAAACTGACGGTCGTCGCAGCGCACTTGCTAGAATGCCCGCCCGAAAACATCGACCTCGCCGAGGGACATGCCGTCGACCGTGCCGACCCCTCCCGTAGTATCCCCTTTGCCCAACTCGCCGCTGCGGCCCACAACGAAGAGCTGTTGCCCCCAGGCGAGGAGCCCGGCATCGACTTCTCCCGCTCCAACACCCTCAGCAAGAGCCCCTACGCCTTCGGCTCCCACGTCGTGGTGGTCGAGGTCTCCCGCGAGAACGGCGCCATCAAGATCCTCCAGTACACCGGCGTCCACGACTCGGGCAAGGTCGTCAACCCCATGCTCTATGACGGCCAGATCCACGGCGCCATTGCCCAGGGCATCGGCCAGGCCCTGTGGGAGGGTATGGTCTACGACTCCACCGGCCAGCCCCTCAGCGGCAGCCTGATGGACTACGTAATGCCCAAGTCCATCGACCTGCCCGACTTTGACCTCGACAGCACCCTCGAGACGCCGTCGCCCATAACCGCCCTCGGCGTCAAGGGCATCGGGGAGCTGCCCACCCTGGCCGCACCGGTGGCCATAGCAAACGCCGTCATGGACGCCCTCTCTTCCGTCGGGGTAAAGCACATCGACACGCCCCTCACCCCGGAAAAGGTCTGGCAGGCTCTCCAGGACGCTGGCCAAGCCTGACCGCCGAGACTGCAACAAAAAGCGCGGGCATCAAGAGAATGCCCGCGCTTATCTATTTTGTCGGTTGGTCCAATAGGTGAATGCACCTAGGTAACAAGCATTTCGGACAGGGGTTGCCTATTGGCCCAGAGAATTAATTTGTCGTAAATCGGGGCTGTAGCGTGGGCCGTCCATACACTTTGCCTTGCCCCTCTGTCATCCAACACAGCTAAAGGACGCCAGGAATCGTCTCTCTCAACAGTATCAATAAATCGATAAGACCATCGTTCTGCCAACGAATGCGCAGCAGACTCAGTGGAGGCTGAAAGTGGCTGGACTAGTAAGTTCCTGCCGGAATTTATGTGAAATTTGAATGCGTGAGACTCCCTCAGTCCAGGAACAGCATACTCAAAGTCATACGTAACCCCAGTATTAATGATGTACGATTCCACTTCATTGTCAAACAACACTCTAGAACTAGCCCGCCTTCCATTGATAAGACTCGTGACCGCCAATATAGCCTGAATCGAATTATGTACAGCTTCGCCTATATTGTCCTCCACACTGTCACAAATCAGCGCATTACCATCCAGAGTAGCGTCAAAACTCCTAGCGATTTGTCTGATTCTGGAAAGAAGGGTCCTGGTTAAGGTTAGCCCATTAACATACAAATACCCTAGAGTGTCACCAGCGTCGCTTACCCTAATTTCTGCTGTGCTCCGAGACTCAACATACAAAGATATCGCCTCCCCATCTGGCCTTATAAATGGCGTGATTAGATGACAACCTCTATCAGATGGCATAACCTCTATGTCATTAGCAAGAGTGCTCAAAAACCCATCTACGGCTGTTTTACAGAGACTAGTACTCATCACCATTCTCCGTCAAGTGGCTTGAAAGAAAGATTGCCTTTGATATGTGCCTCGCAATGAAATATTACATTCTTGCAAGAAGTCCATCAGTTCATCATTTGAATCTCCAATTCTTATGTCATTTGGAATATACACCCGTCTATCTTGATATTCATCATCCCAAGTATGCTTATGAGGATCAGTAATTCTAATTTTAGTAACAGGGTCAATATGCCACGGATGCACTGTATATTTTCGTATAGGAATATTTCGGTACAATAGCGCAAAGCTCCGATTCTGGAGCCCGATATATCCTCTAAGACTCAAGAGTTCCCCGGAGTTCTCTGTTAATACGCTAGCCTGAAGTTGGAAGGATCCCTGAGACCTCCTCCATTCCAAGTTAGCGGCGAACACCTTGGATTCTGCTAGGATACTTTCCGCTTGAGACTGTGAAACCATGTGAGGCCTTTAAACCAGTCTAAGTTTGCCGCGGGCACCTGGATGCCCGCGCTGACTTTTTGCCCTGTTACCGAGCGAAAGCGAGTGTCTACACCGTAACTTCCGCTTCCTTGTACGCCTCTTCCACGAACCCCGGTATCTGCGTCCACTTGGGGTTGGCGGTGTCGCGGTGCAGCGGTATCGCGTCGCCTTCCGTGCTCCGCAGCCCCAGCGGGTGATGCACTAACTCAATCAGGTTGCCGTCAGGGTCGGCGATATAGGTGTAGTGCTCATTGGTGTCCTCGCGGCGGCCCTGCTGCGAGTCGTCTCCGCCGGTGCCCATGAACGCCCCGCCTGCGGAACGGGAGTACGAAACACCCTGCTTGTCCAGGTTGGCCAAAGCGGCGTCCCAGTCGTCCACCTCTACGGCGAAGTGCACCCGGGGAATGAACACGACTTCGTCCACCTCGGTGGTGTGTATCTCGCCATTGCCGATGCGCAGCTGCAGCATTCGCTGGTTCAGTGCCGGGCCGCGGTCCAAGAACTCGCACCCCAGCACCTTCTCATACCACTCGCGGGTGCGCTCCCCGGTTCGTGATCTGGATGTTGACGTGGTGAATCATGTTCACTTTTGACATGTTCTCGCGCCTCCCTGTCTGTTTGGGTTCTCGTTTGGCGCATTATCCGCCAACGTCCGACGCTGGGCAAGCGTTCCTAACTCCCCAGTTCTGCCACGCTGAACACCACGGCGAAGGGGTAGCAGTAGATCACCACGCTCTTGTGAATCGAGGTGTCCACACCCGCGGGAATCGGGTAGTTCTGGTTGCCGCGGTTGCCCTTGAGGTCCCCAAGGTCGACATAGCCCTCCTGCTTGACCTGCTGCGACCGCTCCGGGTCCGGGTGTGTGGACAGCACCACGTGCAGCGCTGGCCCGTTGGTAACGTTCAGGTTCTCCAGCCGCAGGACCTCCGACCCATCGGGCGTCCGGTAGATGGTGGCGGTGCCGCTGCCGCGGTGGAAGGCGTCGGCGTCCTTGAAGCTACCCATCGCCACTGCCTGCACCTGGTCGCTCGCCGCAGGCTGCGCCGCCATCTCCGACTGCTCGATGGCCTGCTCCATCATCGCGACTCCCTCGCCGGCCATGGCCGAGGCCTCCTCCATGCTGTCGGCCTCTGATGCTTTCATCGCCATGTTCATGCCTTTTTCGAGAGTGGCCCGGCGTTCCGGCGTGAACACCACTATGGAGTCCCCGGTGTCAGCACTGTCGGACGCCAGGGCCACCGACGCGTCGATCGCCGCCGGTGCCGGCATGGTCTCCATAACCTCCGTCTCCACGTTGGAGAACCCCGACAGGATCTGCTCCACTTCCTCCCGCTCCATGCCATTCGGCACCGTTGCGCTGCCCGCGAAGGGGAAGTCCTCGTCCACCGTCACGTTGGTGAACAGCGGCGAACCCAGCGACCAGCCCAGCCACAGGGTGATGACTATCAGCGGGACGGATACGATGCCCAGCGGCTTGCGGTATCTCCAGGCCCACAGGTGCCAGCCTCGCCACCAGCCGAGGGCCACGAACCCGGCGAAAATCGCGATGACGGCTGCCCCGATGACCCAGCGGTAGGGATAAAGGTCCGCTAGCGCTCTTTCGAGATCTCCAAATGTTGCCATATATCCTCCCTCTATCCCGTCTTTCGGCTGTGCCGGAATCGGTTCATGGCACTACGGGTTTAGTCACATTATAAAAGGGGCAACCGGCACATGGCTATTCATTTGGAATATAAGTTATTATGTGCCGGAATCACCATTTCCAGATCAATCCACAGGAGCCTCTACATGGAGTCCTCATCAACCAACGGCAACGAAAAGATGGTTGGAGCGTCTGTGCGGCGCAAGGAAGACTTTCGACTGATACAGGGAGAGGGCCGCTACTCCGGCGACATACTGCCCCGCGACTCCACGGTGATGATGGTGCTTCGAAGTCCCCACGCCCACGCCCGCATCCGGGGCATCGACGTCGCTGTGGCTCGAGACCTGCCCGGCGTCCTCGCCGTCGTCACCGGCGCCGAGTTCAACGCCTCCTGCGCCGAACAGCTCCCCATCGCTGGTGTCCGCGAGCACATGAAAGCCGTGAGCCGCTGGCCCATGGCCGCCGACGTCGCCAGGTACGAGGGTGAGCCGGTCGCCGTGGTCGTTGCCGAGAACGCCTACATCGCCCGCGACGCCCTGGATCTGATCGACGTGGCCTACGAACCCCCTGCCCGCCGTAGTCGACTGCGAGAGGGGCTTGGACGACGGCGCGCCACTGGTCCACGAGGAACTGGGCACCAACCTCTGCGTCACCAGTTTCCCGCACCGTTGGAGACCCGGACGCGGCATTCGCCGACGCAGACGGCACCTTGTCCCTGAGGTTGGTGGAGCCGCGCCTCGTTCCCAACGCCATGGAGCCCCGGGCCGTCACGGCCTCCTTCGAGCGCGGCATGGGAGAGGTCACCCTGTGGCTGTCCACCCAGGCACCCCACATGGAGCGCCGAGCCGTGGCAGGGGTGCTGGGCATGGCGGAGAACCGGATCCGGGTGCTCTCCCGCGACGTGGGCGGGGGGTTCGGCGCCAAGATCGACACCTACCCCGAGACCGTCATTGCAGCTGCAATGGCAATGCGCCTCAACCGACCCGTTCGCTGGGACGGGCTGCGGGAGGAGGAGTTCACCTCCACCATCCACGGCCGCGGCGAGGTGCAATACGTCGAGGCCGCCTACCGCAGCGATGGGAAGCTGCTGGCCCTCCGCACGCAGTATTACACGGATCTGGGCGCCTACAGCTTCGGCGGCACCCACGGCGTCGCCGAGACCCTCACGCCCTCCGGGGCGGCCGGCGCCTACACCGTGGAGCATCTGCACTGGGAAGTCTTCGGCGTCTACACCAACAAGATGACCGTCGGACCCTACCGTGGCTACGGACAGCACGCCACCGCCTACGCCGCCGAGCGGGTGATGGACGGCATAGCGGGGGCACTGGGGATGGATCCGGCTGAGGTGCGCAGGCGCAACCTGATTCCCAGCGGAGCCTTCCCCTACCGCACGCCAACGGGCCGCCTCCACGACAGTGGCGACTACGTCCAAGGGCTGGAAAGAGTCCTGGAACTGTCGGACTACACAGGCCTGCGTGATCAACAGGCGGGGTTGCGGGAGCAGGGCCAACTGCTGGGCATCGGCATAGCCACCACCGTCGACGCCTCCGGCTTCGGCCCCTCGGGTTCCCTCAGCGTCCGTCCTGGCTACGAGACGTCAACCGTGCAAGTCGACTCCACCGGCAACGTCACTGTCTACACCGGCTCGTCAGACCACGGCCAAGGCCACGAGACCACCTTCGCCCAGATCGCCGCCGACGAACTGGCCGTCCCCATTGAAAACGTGAGCGTCATCTACGGCGACACTCACCTCATCGCCCAGGGCACCGGCACCCGGGCCAGCCGCTCCATCGTCGTGGGCGGCTCGGCAGTCGTTACTGCCAGCCGCCAGGTCAAGGACAAGGCGGTGAAACTGGCGGCCGCCCTGCTTCGCACGGAGCCGGAGTTTGTCGAGCTGAGGCACGGCGGGTTCTTCGCTGAGGACATCCCGGATCGCTACGTCACTTGGCGCGACGTGGCAGCATTTTCCATCGGCCCTCAGCCGGTGCCCGAGGGTGCCGAGCGCGGCCTCGAAGCCAGCGTCTACTGGGAGCCCGAGACCTACACTTTCCCATACAGCGCCAATGTGGCTGTTGTCAGGGTCGATCCCGACAACGGTGCCGTGCAACTCGTCAGCTTTTACTCGGTCAACGACTTTGGCATCCTCGTCAACCCTCTAGTGGTGCACGGGCAGGTCCACGGCGGCCTTGTCCAGGGCATCGGTGCGGCCATGATGGAAGAGGCGGTTTGGGACGAAAGCGGTCCCCTGCTGACCCGGCAGCTTGATGGACTACGCCATGCCCCTTGCCAAGCATCTGCCGGACTTCACCGTGGAGTTCATGCAGACCCCCAGCCCCTACAACCCCCTGGGAGTAAAAGGGATGGGAGAGACCCCCACCATCGCCGCCGTCCCCGCCATCGTCAACGCCGTAGCCGACGCCCTCTCCCACCTCGGCACCCCAGCCCTCGACATCCCCCTCAAACCCGAACGAGTCTGGCACGCCATTCACCACCCCGAATAGCTCACCATCAACGGCCCGCGCCCAACCGCCTCCCACGACCCACATGGCAGCGCAGCATCCAGAGTGGTCTACTCCCCGTGGGGGCGGATCTCAAACCCGCCCCTGCCCCGTGCTTCCGCCGTCCGGTCGCGACCCTTTGGTTCGCGGCACCCATCGTTCGAAAATATGGGAAACTGAGAAGGCCTCCCAACCCTCACCACTCCATTGACATCCAACAAATCCACCAGTACATTCGTCCCATCATGGTGACAAACGCGTGAAGCTCGCAGTTGCGATCGCACTGGCCCTCGTCCTCTTGTTCGTCATCGCCTGCGCTGGCGAGCCCACCGCCACTCGAACTCCAGCCCCTTCACCCACGTCGACCTCAACCCCCACCGAAACACCCGCGTCAACACCTACACCCGTGCCTGCTGCTACGGCCCTTCCGGCTGCGACATCAGCACCAACCCCAACCCCAACTCCAACTCCCACACCGGCCGCCACTGCAACCCCCGTACCCGTATCAACACCAACCGCAGCCCCAACGCCTGTGCCAACCCCCATCAGCACCTCATCGCCCACCGTCACGGCGACGCCAATACCCACGCCAACGCCGACGTCGACCGCCACACCAACGCCGACGCGCCGACCGACCCGCACACCCACGGCTACACCTCGCCCAACAAGTGCGCCGACACCGGAGACGGGCATCATCTCGACCTACGCCAACGGACTCATCCTTTCCAGCGCCCAATTCCTGTCGTACCGCAACGGAGTGCTGTCCTTCGAGCGGGCCGGCGAGACCCTTTTCGGCGAGTCCGGCTCTGTTTCCTTAAAGAGGAAAATGGGAACAGGGTTCATCTCAATTACCGTGGAGCAGCTCCCGGAGCGCAGCTTCGTGAGTCTGTATTCGCGGGTGGACAATGGTGTCGAGGTCGTCGGAAGCGTACTGCTAGAGGAGGGCGATGTCCTGCCCGCCTTCACCCCCGCGCCGACTCCCATGCCCCCCACTCCAACGCCAACGAGCACTCCCAGGCCCATCTCGCGACCGGCGCTGCCATCGCTGGCCGGCTACTCCCCACTGCTGGCCCAGGCAGCCTCCAACCTCCCCGCCAAGTACGACTTCGTGAGCGACGGAATCAGCTCCGAGGAACGACAGATCCTCGATTGGGCCGACAGCCGCCTGTTCAGCAACCCGGCATTCCTGGAGAGCGAATTCAGTCCCGACTCGTGGCCCTTGGCGCTGCGGAACTACGTGGAGGAGGCAAGACGCCAGGCCATTTCCAGTCCGGGAGACCCGGCAGCCGATCACGAATTCAGGGTCGCGTCGGCGCAGGCTGTGGTTCTGATGATGCAGGCGATAAAGATTGAAAAGAAGTCCAACGGAAAGCACATCGTCAGCTGGGGGATCGACAGCCTGGACCGGATCCTGGACGACATCGGCATCTACGAGGGGATGTGCGTCCACTGTTACGGGAAGACGGGCTACGACACCCGGGATGGAGTCAATGAGAATTACCTGGCCCTGATTGTCACTGCAGAGCACATGCACCGGGAGAAGCTCAAGACCCTGGCGTACCTGGCCAAGGCGGACGGAGAGGGAATCCTGATTCGGAGCTTTATGGAGAACAACCCCGAGGATATTGACCTGCTGCACAAGCGCGCCTTGAACAAGCGCACCTTCACTGCTCTGGGCACCGGCTCCTTCGCCTACGAGAACGTGTCGTTCATGTCGCAGATACGGCTGCCGGAGGGGAGGCTGGTGTCGTACCCGACCATGGCATTCGAGATGGTGGGGGACGCCGGGACGGAGCGGGAGGCGGTGGAGCGGGTGTTTGACAACGTGCGCAAGAAGCTGACGCACTTTACCGGGGACCTCGACGACTTCGCAAACCATTACCGGCCGTACACGGTGACGCCCTACTCTCCCGAGCTGGGCTGGATTCTGTACGTGGGGGAGGCGGGCAGCCCGTCATCCAGCGCCCTGCTGACCGGGGCGTTCCGGGCCATCGGGCTCAAGGCCGAGCAGTTTAAGAGCCCTAACAGATTTTAACGCCGGTTCCGTGGAGGCTGACGGGGAGACGTACTACTACAACGGGAATGATATTCTCGGGCGGGTTCCTCCAAGCCTACCAATGTGTGTATTGCTCAGGACCCTGAACCAAGTCGACGATAATAGATATGACTTAGACTGCGACAAGTGACACCGCCGATGGGCGGCTTGGCGTTGTATCCCCGGCTTCGGGGGAACCCCCTGCAGGGCATGGAGTGCTTGGGAGAGAGCAGGATGAGACCGCTCCTGGTCATGCCGCCGACGTCGGCGTGGATCTTGTGGGCGTGGTTGGACCTCGCAGGATTTGGCTTGGCTGGTGACATACCGCCAGACCCGGGCGACTAGGACAAACTGGAATTTCTAAATCTCGGCAACAATCAGTTGACCGGGAGAATCCCAGCTGAGCTAGGCAACCTGACCAGCTTGAAACGGTTGGGGTTGAGCAATAATCCTTTGACTGGATGCATACCCGCAACGCTGAACGGACAGGTGTCTGGAAGGCGTGGTCTCAATTACCGCATACCTGTTCTCGGAACCCCCTTCTGCGATCAATAGCAACAGTTTTCTGCCAACTCGCCCCCGCCTCCGCGCCCTCTGCGTTCAACCCCCATCCCCTGAACTCCTGACGCCCACCCAGGGCAATCGCGTCTCAAACGCCGAAGGTCCTATCAGTCGTCATTCCTGCGCAGGCGGGAATCTAAACCCCCGTCTACCCTCGCACCAGGAACCGAAGGAGGCACTGCCACTCCCATCTCCACCGCCAATCAGACCAATTTTGTGTGCTGAGCAATAAGACGCGATTGCCCTCGTCACCCACCCCCTTGCCAAACCCCGAAATGCTTTGTACCATAACTATGCGAGCACAATAGTTCTATTTCCGACCCAGCCACCCAAAACCCGTAGGGCACTCACCTGTCATCCCCACGAAATCCCCACTCCACGAGACCGGCGCTTAACCACCAAATGTCAGGGAATGTCAGGGAATGTCCGGGAATGTCAGTGATTTCTATACCCCTGACATTACATTCACCTCGATCCGGCAACCCAACCCCCACCCCCGCACCCAACCGTCATCCCCGCGAAAGCGGGCACCCAGCGCCCCGTCCTCCTGACGGATGCCACCCAGGGACGCAAAGTATCGGAAAATCAAATTTTCCACACTCACGGGGCCACCATCGCAGCCTGGATGGGGCCCTGGCGCAGGCGCGGCCCACCCCTCATATTGACAACGAAATCCCACCGTCATACACTCGAAGGACTGGGTCGCTATTGGCCCAGTTGCTTATGGCCCGGTGGTGTAGCGGTTAACATATTGGCCTGTCACGCCAAAGATCGTGGGTTCGAATCCCATCCGGGTCGCCATCTCCACACCACACAGACTGTGGGTTTTCCATTGGTCGGGAATGGCGAGGTAAACCATATCTCTAATGGGGACGCGTGGGTTCGACAGGGGCGTCAAGTAACGGATCGCAAGCCGAGGTGTCATCACCCTCGTTAATCAGATGGCAAAAAACAACTGGCGAACGTGAATTCGCACTAGCCGCCTAAAGCGGCTACGTCTGCTCCCAGCTATTCCCGGAGGAGGGGATGTCAGGCGCCATAAGTCCGGGATGCGGCCAAACCAATGCCGGTAAGGGCGGCCAAAGATTAACCGGCTGGGTCTTTCCAGGATGCGTCGGCGGTACCTGAAGAGACCGAGAACAAACCGGCGAACAAGCTTGTAGCATATCCGGTTTATAGGCTCTCTTGGACGGGGAGTTCGACTCTCCCCCGTCTCCACCAATTATCGCAGCGGATTGAGGCGACGCAACCGGCACGGTTGCGTCGCCTCTTTCAATTTTCAGGCCAGTCGCCCAAGTTTTACCTGTGAGAACAAAGCCTGCCCCTCGGCAACACGCAGGCTCCTCTGGCTTGTGAGACTCCCTCCCGGCGTATCTGCCCCGGCGCATCTGCCTGTCCAACGTCAGCAATCGCCAGCCTCATCACATTCAGGCATCGATAGTGCCGTTCCTGACGAATGGCGGCTCCTGTTAATGCCACAGCAACATCACTGTAAAAGAAACGTAACGAATACGTAATGCTGGGGAAACTAATCCGCAACTGGCGCGAAACATCCTTCGCCTACCTTGGTTTGTAAACCTGAACGGGGGCTCAGCCGCATGAAAGAAGTAGTTGCAGTGATCCGGCCCGAGAAGTGGCAGGAAACAATCGATGCGGCCCAGGCCATGGGCCTGAACGCATGCTCCCACATCCGCGTCATGGGCCGGGGCAAGCAGCGGGGGCTGCGCTATATGCGCCCAGTCAACGGAAGCGACGACGGTGTGATGCACTTCCTTCCGAAACGGATGCTGACATGGCTGGTCCCCGACGAAGCGGCCGGAAGGTTGGTTCGTTCGATCATAACCGTGAATAAGGCCGACAATTTCGGCGACGGCAAGGTTTTCGTCTGCCCGGTGGAGGAGATCATCCTCTCCCCGGAGGAATCCACGATGCCAGAAACAGTAACTGCGGAGGTGTAACGACATGGTCGCACGTCCCGACGTCAACTACCCCAAGTTCAAGATCAGTTCGCCGCAATGGACTTCGAGGCGGAGCCTCTGCCGGTGCTGTCGCTCTACCCGATGCCGGAACCCAAGTCGCTGGAAGACTGGTCGCTGGCGCTGACCGACATCAAGGGAAATACCTCCGTTGCCACGTGGGAGCACCTGAAGAAACTCCCCCATGTGCAGGA